ATTAGGCATGTTCTAAGCACTTCAAATCAATCAATCCATTTAATCTTCAACTCAGTCCTCAGGTGGGTACTTCCCATCGTGTAGTCAAATAAACTGAAACATGAAGCTACGAAAACTTTGGCTGAGGTCACAAAGCTAGTATTAATAAATTATGGAACCAGACTCAAACTCCAGCAGATTTGCTCCTCATCATTTGAGTACTGTACTGTCCCCTGGGAAGCTTCTCCTCAGCACAGGGTCTAAGAATGGAATGGGAAGGGGAAGTTTCAGGGGTCTGCAGTAGTCCCCAGCTCCCTTTCCCTCCCCCTTTCCAGGTTGCTCTTTCTGGCCTAAGGGAAAGGACCACCAAGTTCAGAGACTGCTCCCTTACAGACAAATCGGCACTTCCAGTTCCTCTGTTGAGTATCCTCCTCTCAGAGACCATGCATGGACCACTCACTGTGGTCAGTTACCTCCTTGAGCTCACCACTCCCATTTCTAGGGTGGACAGTAATTAGCTTAAGTTCCCCAATCTTTTGGTCTCTGCTTCTATTAACACAAAATTCCCTTCACGAGATAGAGATTTGGATCCCTTTTCTATCTTCCCTAGCAGCAGCCAGATATGCCTTGTTATTGGTAATAATAATAAATCCTGGACATTTAACTGTATGCCACTTCTTATAGTATTAATAATACTAGAAGCTTCATGTAAATTACCACTAATTATTACAACAAGCAAGACAGATGTTAATACTACCTTATAGACAAGGAAACTACGGCTCAAAGAAGTTCAGTAACTTGTCCAAGGTCACCCAGGAAGCAGCAAAGGTGAACTCTGAGCTCAAAGCTGGTGTCCTTTCACCATGTCAAACTGCCTCCTTCTTAGCCTCCCTACTTTCCAGAAAGTTGTCAAGAAGCACAACAGTCACAGGGTTCCTCTGCTCACTGTCTCCTTTCAACTCTTCCTTTCTCCTCCTATAGGTCTGCCAACATGGACTTGGACTGGGGCTGGAGCTGGCAAAAATGTTCCCCCAGTATTCTACCCCAGAGTTTTATCTTCATGATAGTCCCCTTTCCCCCTTTCACACCTTATCCATCGCAAGCTCCCCTTCCAGAATTCTGGGGAAGTGTGACACCCCTCCACAGTGGCTTTCCAGGAGTTGCATAAATAAACAAGTCCCCTTATCCTCAATAGCCTTCTGGAGTCTTCACCAAGGTCAGCCTCACTGTCACAGTCCTTCATAGCATTCCTCAAACACTAGAAATTTGTTCAAAGAATAGTAAATATGAAAGGTTTCATAACATAAAAAATGAAATTTGGTCTCCTTATTTTTTTTTTCCGACACAATCTCGCTCTGTCGCCCAGGGTGGAGTGCAGTGCTGCAATCATAATAGCTCACTGGCAGCCTTGAACTCCTGAACTCAAGTTATCCTCCTGCCTCTAGAGTAGTGGGGACTACAGGTGCACTCCACTACGCCTGGCTAATTTTTTAATTTTTTGTAGAGACAGGGTCTCACTATGTTGCCCAGGCTGGTCTTGAATTCCTGGCTGCCAAGTGATCCTCCAACCTTGGCCTCCCAAAGCAGTGGGATTACAGACATGAGCCACTGCACCTGGCCCAGTCTCATTATTAATTAAATGTAAATTAAAACAATAATAGTGAATGTCTAGAAATAAGTATCTTTCAATTAAGAGATTTGATAACTAAATCATTGTATAGGACTATAATGCCACATTAACTGTTGTTAAAAGGACATCTACCTAATTTGACATGGAAAAATATATGCCACATCTTGTTTTTTTTTTTTTGAGACAGAGTCTCACTGTGTTGCCTGGGCTACAGTGCCGTGGCGTCAGCCTAACTCACAGCAACCTCAAACTCCTGGGCTTAAGCGATCCTACTGCCTCAGCCTCCTGAGTAGCTGGGACTAAAGGCATGTGCCACCACCATGCCCAGCTAATTTTTTCTACATATTTTTAGTTGTCCAATTAATTTCTTTCTATTTTTAGTAGAGACGGGGTCTCGCTCTTGCTCAGGATGGTCT